GCCAGGAGGATTACCAGTGAAAGATGTCATTATCTGGATCAACGGTAAACCTTGGTGAACAAGAGCATTATGCACATCCTCACTGGATTGTGCTCTATCTTTGTAGTGAAAGTATTAAAAATGGCTTATAACTAAAGATGTGTTAATGGAAGAAAATCTGGCAGCAGTGCTGTTCTGTACACTGCTGTGTAAGAGCCAAAGGAAGCATTTGTGTGACATTGTGCAAGACCTTGCATATGGTACTGCACAGTGTCTTGTGGTAACGTAAGTACACTCCTAGGTTGCAATCCTTTTCTCTCACATAAGGATCTAACCAGCGTATGACTTTAGAGTATATGCATTCTAAATGTCACATTTGTATTTTAAAAGGCATCCTGAAATGCTTTAAAAATCATTAGATGTTTTCCTCCAAGGCAAGCAAAAATGAAATTATATGAATAGTTTCTGTTCAACTGTAATGTATCTAAGAATACAAACTCACTTACGGGTCTCATCGGATCTTGATTCCATTGCTCCTTTTCTCATGATATTACATTTATTACATTCAAAAGCCTAGTGTGTACGGTGGGCTAACATCTGCACATTAGAATGCAAAAGCACTGCTAAAAAAACCCACATCATTGCCATCCCTGGTGAAAAGTTGGCACTGTAGTAGTTCAGAGAAACACTGGGCTGCTTTTATATTAAGAAGAATAAGAGTTTGGCAGTAAAAGAAGGAATCATCTTTTTCATTTTCCTTTTTATGTATAGCTTACCAAGAATAAACTGTAAAGACTTCCCTTTAATCCAAACCTGGCTTTTTGAGAAATCCACATTCAGAAACTAAATGGGCCACACAGACAGATGTTTTGAATTCCTTACTTTTAAGAAACTATTTCGTTAAAGCAAAGCTTATTTTAGATGACTTACAGATAATTCTGCAAGAAGGTGGCACAACTAGAATTGCATGCCCTGATCAGCAATCTGTTGCTTCTTTTTAGGATTTTGCTTTGGGCAAGGGAGCAGATTAGGGGAAGTTTTTCTCTTCCTCTTATAAATGATGCTTACATCCTTACAGAAGACTGATTCTGCTATGGTAATTACCTAAAGGTGCTGGCTAGAGAATGCTGGGAACTGCAGGACTTACTTGTATTTAAATATTCATAGGATTGTATTCTGTAATTGTTAAATGGCACTTCCACAGTCAGAAGCAGTTTGCCTCTGAATGTCAAAAGCAAAAGATTAACAAGGGATCTCCCTCATACGTGTCAGGTGCACTCATCCTTTTGGATTGTCAAAGACTTGTTCACCTGGAAATAGGGGGATTTCATATTCCATCCTAAACAGGCATCCTTAAAAAACCTAATTCTGCATTCATCCCTCTAATTATTTTCCATGTCTTTACGAGGATAGGCATAAATGTCACACAAATGCCAATAAATGTCAATAAAGAGCTGTGCATGCTGGTCCAGATGTACCCTTGGAGTTGAGATATAACAAAGTTTCATTCATATCACTTATTATTTGTCCTAAATATCACTAAATGTAATTTGGCATAGCAAGAAGAAACTACTGTATTAGAATAGTAATTTGCTGTTATGACTGTGGTAAGTCATTTGTGGGATTTCTTTTTTGCTGTGCGTGTACATTTTAAGTGGTTAACAGGTTTCCTTAATGTCCGAATCTTGCAGTTCCCTGAATTTTCCTAATTAGCATGCTGAGTGAGTTGGAAATAGAACTCATTTTGGAAATCATAATTGCTATAGTCTAATTGCACTGAGGACAAAGGGCAATTTAATGAGTCACTGTACACCAATACATAATTGGATATATGGAACAAAAATGCATAGATTTAAGCAGCAGTAAAAAGAAATGTCCCTTTACTCTTTCATTCTTATTGCTCAGACATAAATTTGTGAATGCAAACTACTGCAGTTGAAATCCCTGTCAATGAAATAGAGTTTAGAAACCTGACTTAGAAATCAGAATGTCTATGAATATGCATTGAAAGGGCAGGATGACCCAACAGCCACTATCCATTCCACCAAAGCCATAGCTCTGTATCGGTCTGTAACTAAGCCACCCTACACAATAAGCCATATACAGCACCCACTTCTCTCCTTTCATGAAACAGCACTTTCATCATGCCTACTTCTTCCCCGGTGCTTATTTTTATCCCACTGGTCTTACCATTGGTTCATAGGTCATAGATTCGCTCAGAAAAGCATCACAGATCCCCAGTCCTGCATTTGGATATCGTAAGAGAGGGTTTGAATGCCACTCATGTATAAATCAGAAGTTTTGAACTTTCAATTAGCTGATTATTCGTAAAAGCACCAACACCCCTCCCCCCGGTCATGTTCTGAAATGGGAGATTTACAACAGCTAAATGTTTGAAATCCCTTTAGAGTATGGCAGTACTCTTAAAGAATACAACATAGATATGAAATAATAGAGGATACATATTTCATATGAAGAAAGTTATGGGATTTTATGCATACTTTTGGCCATCAGATTTCTACTTATGACTGAACTCCCAGTGCTATGGTGATCCACTCTTTTATGTCCCAGTCAACTGTTACAGGATAGAGTCACACAAGAATAGTGCCAGTGCATGTGGTGAAAACTAGTAGACGCTATGGCTATAATAGAAATGACTCACTACAGCGGGACCATCATGGGTCCATGACAGCTGCTCTCCCCTTTGAGGTTTATTTTCCATGGTGCCCAATTCAGCATGGTGCTGACTAGGCAGAGCTCTTTTCAAACAGCTAAAGGGGTTCCACAAATCAGTCTATTTGGTGGGGGATTCAAGAGGGAGGGGGAGGAATGGATTGAACCATCTGCTCCCCTTCTTGAGCGACTGATCAGCACAAGAGATTCCATGTAAAGAGACCAGGCTGTTGCATCACTATACAGATGAGGGTCCCTTGGCACACAGAGTTCCTTCTTCAGCTATAGAGACATATACAGAACCTTCCTTCAACACACATAAAAGCCTTAGCGGGTTCCAGAGAATAGTGCTCCAAACACTACCATAACACTGATATAATAGTAGACTAAAAACGCAATTCACTGTTCAATTAGACAGCTGTCTGGGGCATGCTGGAAGAGGTAGAACTTTTTCTGTCAATTCACACAAAGGATTGCTCCCTAAAATTCCATTCCTGTACCCCAACTGTGTAAAGAAAAGGCTGAGGAAAAACCTGGGGGGAAAATAATGTTAACAGAAGTGGGTCTGAATTTAATTAATTAGGCCTACAGCCATTTTGACCCAAGCCTACCACTCCAGTAAGAGAAAATGGCATACAGGGGTCCAGCAGAACACCTGCAGCATTTGGCTCAGTCCCGACTGATTAGTAAGAGGAGCCTTTCATGATGGAGATGCACAAAATCATTCAATGGGCATTTTGTATAGTCTTTTGTATACAAAGCTAGAGAGTACACCAGCACACCAGTTGAAATGAATAGGCTTTTCAAATTCACAAATCAAATGAGTGTTTGTTTCCTTAGCCATGCAGAGCATGTCATCCATCTCTGCATAAACCAGAAGTGTTCAAGAAAGTCAGAAGATTCTGGGTAAGTAGAGCTACAAGATATATGCACATACTCATATATGTGAGCACAGTGCCTTCTACTGAGTCAGACCGTGGGTCAATTGTCCAATAAGAAGACACGGATGTTCCAGTGTCGAGCAGGAAGGAGTCTTTCCTAGCCCTAAGCGAAAATGTCAGGAATCAAACCTGGAACTTTCTGTATGCAAAATCCCATGTGCTCTACCACTTAGCTCTGGTTCGTCCTTAGAATATACTTCATGGCTCTGCGTTCTAGATGCAAGATTTTTCCAGAGTGAGGGATATAAATTCAACCCCTCCTAGACACATACAGAAACAAGTGCAGTGGGGATGCTGTCCGATTTGAAAATTTCAAAATATACAAAGGTTTAAATAAATAAATAAAATCTTTATTAGGTGGAATAAGAAATAATTTTCCTATTACCATGACAGATAGAATATATCAATAATGCAGATGTTTGGAGAAAGATGTAGATATTATGGAGAAATACTGAATGGTAAACATTATGGAGAAATATTGTCATTAGGAACTGTCATGTGTCATAGGTAGAGGACTTTATTGAACTTTGTACATATGAAAAATGGACACAAATATAAAACTTCCACCCTTTGGAGGCTTAGTGGAGACTGACAGAAGTATTTTTCAAAGCACTGTAAACTTGCCCAGTTAGGATTAGGATTAGGGTTAGGGCAGTGACCACTGGGGTAAGTTGCATTTATCTGTATGATTTCTATATTATTTATTAGAATTTGTGATTTTGGGTTTCATCGTGTTCTGAAGTTTCCAGAATGTGGTAAACAAATTCCTACTTCTTAATGCCACGAATCAGGAGAGATACTGGATACAGAAGGAAAAAAAACACCAGAGTTCATGCCCACCCGTTTTTTAAAAAAAGAAGCAATTTGCCTTTACTAATTTACATATGTTCTAAAGACATTATATGTGTGTCTGTAAAGGATTCAGTGTCCCAAGGATACCCCTATTTTAAAAAAAGGTACATCAACAGGTAAGAGGAGGGTATTTGTTTTCGGGCGGGGGGGACACACCCTCAGGCAGTGAAGCACATGTGTGCAAAATCAGCTAATCCACAGGGATCAGATACTGCAGAAATCATCAGGGCCCTGTATCTTTCTTTTAGCAAGTGCCCATGAACAGGAAGGTGGGAGCAGATGGCTGGAGCTCCAAAGGAAAGATCCAGGACACCTGCCCTAGAGGGCATCCTAACACCATCTCTGCCACCAATCAAACCAATGGAATATGAGTATCTGGATATACGAGCTACCACAACTTGAACCATGCAATCATCATCAACTAAATTTTGACAATCATCAATTTTGAACAAAATATAGTTTAAACAAAGTAGGAAATGAATAATCCCCTTAAAGTATGTAAAGTTCTTGATACTTGTCTCATTTTTATTTAATAATTAGCAACATGCAGCTAACCTTTGTTTTTTCCCTTTTTCTCCTTTCTGGTGTTGCCAGTTTGGCAGCCTCCTGTGGCTGCCTTGGTTTTTTTAGTTGATTTTGGAGCTTGAGGGTCGGTTACCACCTTTACGTCTTCTTGATCGGCCTCCTGCACTGCTTGAGAGAGTCAGGACATCCCAACCCCCCAAAACAGACAAAGACAACATGAAAGAAAAACAAAGGAAAGAAGAAATCAGAAATCTATGAAACCACAAGAAAACTAACCAAAGAAAACAGATCATCAAAGCATCTGCTTATTAGTTCAGCAGAAAGAAAGCGGCAAAGGACCAAAGGCTTCAGGTTTCAATTGAACTGTTTTCAAACTTTACGTATTGATCCCCGTGTTCTATATAATCAAAGTGGGAATCAAATAACTGTTAGTCACTTTGACTGTGTGAACCAGTTTTGACTGCTTTTAACTATCTCCAAGGTCATGATGGGGCTTGATGCAGCTTGAACACACCTGAACGCGGATTCTATTTCTAAGACTCCCTTTGTAATGTATTTTTAAAATTTGCACACTACTCAGAGAACTTTAGTTATTGGGTGTTATTTATTTATTTAAAACATTTCTACTCTGTCCTTCCTGATAAAATGTCTCAGGACGGTTTACAATAAGTAAAAGCAGTGATAATAATAAAATTACATTCAATAATAATAAATAAATAATGGTAACACAATAACTAAAGCAACAAATAACAGAACAATAATTAAAATTGTTGTGAAAGTTATGAAAATGTAATGCATGTATTGTTGTGACGTTATGAAAATGTAATGCATATATAACTGAAAAGAGCAACGTCACATAATGGTATCAGCACTCCAGCTGTATGGCTAATAATGTCTGGAGGCAGACTGGCAGGAATACTATCTCCATCAAGCTTACCACTGAAAATTGCAGACAACAGCACTTACCGGGAAATCGACTCATATATATGTAGGCGCACCAGCTTGCCCTTTCAAGCAGCAAGCTGAAGTTCCCTGCAAAGGAACTCAGTGTACTGGCAAGTCACCCCATAAGTTGAGTTCATATGCCTACTACAAATACATTATTTTGCCTTCTGCCTTATATTCTCTTAGTTCCTTTGCTACTTTTTGCACATATCTTTTTGCAAACGTGCAAAGAGGAACACAGGAACAGTAGAGGTGTAACCCAATTATGTGTGTGAGATCTGCAAAAGATCTGTTTGTTTGAAACACATGCATGCATAGATTTCCACAAAAAATGACATCTACAAAAGGAAACAAAGTTAACTATTAATATTCCACTGGTCTACAGCACACCAAGGATGTCACAGCATAATTCAGGATGCCTCAGAGGAGGACAGGGCAAGCTGCAGCATTCCCTCCCAACAGTCCTAGCCAATGATGAGAGCCCATAGGAGTTGCTGGCCAAAACATCGGGAGAGATACACATTTGTCAAGAGGCGGGGCTCCTTGTGTTACTGTCATTGTTACAGCTTTGGTACTTTCAAAAGTCAAGTAAGTGGCTTTATAAGTATGCCTGTTCCTTTCTTGGAGCTGATTATTACATGAAACTTATTTAAACTTTATTTAAATTTTAAGTTTAAACTTTTTAAACTTTTAAAAAAACCACAGGATTTTTTGGGGCTGCCTGAGTATATTATTATTATGTAGACTTCTGTAAAATCTTTAAACATAGCAGAGTCTTAAGTTCCAAAGAAACTTAAGGAATTAGTGTGGCATCCATTTTAATTATATGTAGAAGGTCTAATTTCTTAAAGGAATATCAGAGTAGGCTGCAAAAGTGGGACTTATGTCCAAATTACAATGCATATGATTGCACTGTTGGTTGGTTGGTAGGCAGTGAGATCTGGTGTATTTATCATTTGTACAATCTATTAGCAAACAATATTTTAGCTTATCAGGTTACTCAAGAATCATAGATTTCTGTGTTCCTGTATTCTGTTCCACAACAAATACACAATACTTTGTTGTGCATTTCCCATATTGGATTTCAAGCATTTGTCTTCTGCTTAGAGTTAATCTTGAAGTCACACCTGTAATCTGTATGGCCTTTTCGTATTGTTCAGTTGTGTAGAAACCCAAAACTTGTGAAAAGGGAGTCACTGACCACATCTGGATGATCAAACCAGGGTATGATCATATGTGCTACACCTACAATAAGTCTCTTTGCTACTGCTTTGCTTAGCCCTTGATGTGAATAGTAAAACAAACCAGGAAGGCTCACTTATTCCTACCTTTCTATTGCATCTGAATCAAGAGCTATGATTAATGGCTTCCATATAGGCCAAGATTCAGAAGCTGGCTTTAAATCTATTTATATTTGGAAACCATTAACAATAGTTCCTGGTTTGGATGGTAAAAGTAGCTATAGCGATGACTTCCTGATTTATTTCACAAGCTGACCAAAGCAAAACTTTAACGAAAGGCTTGCATGTAGGTACACAAAGCTCATGCATATCCTGGAACATCCATGCCGGGTATATCTGTGTCCATACACAAAGCCACTCTCTCTTTTGTTATTATTCCACAGTTGAGCCTAAGTGCGTCTCACAAAAATGTAAATGTATATTGAAGTGTCCAGTGTGTAGACTGTTACATCTGTGTTGCTCTACTGTTTATTTAGAGAAATGCAAAAGCTTTATATTAGCTGCCTGACACTTGCCTTGCTATTATATCAGCAATTTGTTCATGTAACTTGCATTAGCATGAAACTATTTAAAAAAAAAAAACCTCTATTACTGTGAGCTACAGCTTGTAGAATTAGTTCCAAAGAAGAACATCTTCAGCAACTGTCAAAGCTGGTATATGAATACAAGTGACCTTATCAGGCAAGAATTTAAACAGCTGCATGATTATATTTCAGGTCTAATCTATAACAATGATTGTGTTGATTCCAGACAGTAACATGTCTTAAATCCACATAATTTTTATTGGAGATATTTAAAAAGATCTTTTATGATAAAAGCAGCAAAATTAGGTTTTCAAAACAGTTACACTAAGTGCCTTATAATTTTGACAGAAATGAGGTTTAGTGTAGAAGAATAAATTATTACTTGAAGATTAATTCTACCCAATATTAGAACCCAAAACAGCATATAAAAAAACCCCTGTATTTTTTTCTCTTCTAGCCATCCTTAACTTAGTTTCAAATGGGATCTAAGAGAAATCTCAGGAGTCAAACTTCCCTGACATGTAAGCAGCCACAGTCCTGGCTAGGTTACATGTATTGCCCATGGTAATACGGAAAAATATTTGCATAATCTCCAGCTGTACACAGACAACAAAAACAGCTATTTCAGCAAATTTCGTAGCTGGAATTAATACAGAAACAGCCACAAATATGCCCTGTAGCTCTCTACATAAATAGGACAATTCACAAGAACTTTTTTGCACATGACCAAAACCATAAATCAGTAGTGGCATACCTGATCTGCATGCAGAGGGCACACCTGGTAGCAGAGGGCACACCTGATTTCAATCCCCAGCATCTCCATATAGGGCTAGGAAAAACTGCTGCCCGAGTCCTTACAAAGCCATTGCTAGTCAGTGTCAACAATACTGGGCTAGGTGGACAGATGTCCTGACTAGATATATGGCAGTTCCTTATGCTCCAATGCACAGATGCTCATGTGCAGGGCCAGCGAATTGTGAACTAACCCTAAATTAATGGGGCTGAAACAACTATGTGTCACCTGCTAATTAATTATAGTGAATTTTCTACCAAAGTTTTAAAAAAATAAACATTGCAATTTCTAAGGAGGACATTTACCGTACAGTGCAATGTAGCCTACTCAGAAGGAAGTCTCCATTTGAATGAAACAGGGCTTACTCTCAGCTATACAGATTCAGAATTACAGTTTTGTTGCTCCTCAATCACCTAAGTTTATTCATTGTGAATTTATTCCTATCCCAATAGAAACAGCTTCTGCACCTATTTAAAAGTGATATATGTTCTTAATTGGTCTTTCTGACTGCATCAGGCACCTACCGTAGTCACACGTTGCAAAACAGTATATTTTTCACTTTGTTTTCCCCTGACGACTGTCAAAGTACAAGCTTTCAGGGGAATACAAAGTCATGAGTAATTTTTGCTTGCAAAACAGAGTAGCTACCAGATGACCCCCGCTGCAGTCAGAATCTCTACTTTTTTGGCCAGGCCTGACTCTTTTCAGGATCCTGCATCTTTCCCACCCTTTCCTGAGACTTGAGGTACGCTGGAAGGTGGAAAAGTACAAACCACCTCTTTTATGGAAACATGGAATTTGCACCGTTGACTCAGACTTTCTCTAAAGTAGCTTTCATAGTGATAATTTGGCTTTTTTCACATGGACATATACTTATGTATGCACACATGACCCATCAAAACATCCTGATTAGCACTGTCAAAAACCTTATTTAAAAAAAGTTTGAGCTTTGGCAGCTGTCAAACATGATTTGGACTTTACTTTCCCTTGACAGTCCACTTTTTGACAGTTGTCAGGAGAAAGCAAAGGAAAAAATAAACCTGTTTGCAGCGTCTCTTGGTCAATGTCCACACTGGGTGGCTGCTCTACTTTGATAATAGGCAAGAAACTGCCCAGGTATTTGCACAAGTCTAAATATAATTTATTTTTTTAAAAAAATCACAAAATATTTGTGCACATTTGGAGGTGCAAGAAAAAATTAGAAGAATGTTGAATCAGTAGCAGTCCCACCAATGTGCTACTTAGGCAATTTGGTGGAGCTGTCACTGGCTATCAATTTGGAAACTCTGGAAGGTAATGTCAGGAAAAAAGGGAAGAGGATAAGAAAAATCTTTAGTGAGAAAAAAGGGCTCAGGAACAAAGTGGGGAGTTCAGCTTGTTTGTGCCACTTGGGCAATGGAAGCTCAGGTAAATTTGGCAGGTAAAGAAGGCTTACTCTTGTCAAGCAACTCACCAGTCACTTTCTGCCATCAAGGGTAGAGTTGGTCACCTGTGGTCAGATGACATAACAACCCACTGTGGGTGCAACAACCCCTAAAACAAGTGCATGGAGAAGTAACCCAGCAGGAAACAGTCTAGATTCACATGACAGTGACACAAAAGTCCAACATGGTTTGTCATCCATTATGGATTGTTGTGTTGTGCAAATCCAGCCACTGTCTTTTA